TTGTAACCCACACCCTCCCCTGGGGTTTCAGTTATTCCACAACATAGCAGGGGTGCAAAATACCACCACATTTTGCTCGAGCATGCCAGAAACTGATCATCACAGGGCAGTGCCAGTATAGTCCCCAGTTCCACAATTATCAAAAGGCAGGTTCCCATGTGACACAAGGAGGAATCTCTCTTGCTTTGTGTTAAATAATAACCAGGAGTCAATATAAGGTAATTGTGGAGATGAATCTTGGAGTAGTATCTTGTAGGAACCCAGTAACATATGCTGAGCATCATCATCCTTTGCATTGTTGCTTCTGATTTCCAGCACTTACCTTGATTAGATCATTTCTTTTTCTCAGGCACCTAAAACTTCCAGCACATCATTGCCTTTTGTTAGTTGGCCTCTATTTTTCTCTTTACTGCTGCCACAGATTCCATTACAGCTGCTTTATGCGATTAAAGTCAGTAGTAAAATTGATTGGTACCTTAAAGCAGAGCTCTGTTCTGACCCCATGAGGGTTTATACCTTCATGAGCTAATCTGGAGCCTGACACTGTGCAGGAGCAATTCTGTCACCTGAATTATACCTGTTTTATGTAGGGAGGTGGAACCTTGGAGCTGCCTTGGTCTGTAAATCTGTCATAATTATCACCAAATCAAGAGCTGAAGATGGAAAATCATTATTAAGCTTTCAGGCCCTCATCTGATGCCAGCTGCACCCCAGCTTTGGGGAGGGCTGGAGGAGGAGGGTGGCTGTGGTGGGCTCTCTCTGTCTGCAGTCTTAAAGCATTGCTCACTTTAGGGAACAGTTGCCAGGGTTGGGCTGGAGGCTGAAGGGGATTTTTGATGGGGAATTGTACATGACACATCCTTTGAATGTGGTGTTTGCATTTTGGAATCACTCCTCTTGGTTGTATGAAATGCTTCCCATCCTGCCCAGTGTCAACACTGCTATTCCCATTCCTATGGTCTGGTATTGCCATTAGCTGGGGTAACCATCAAATATCCTCAGCTGGAAGGGGACCCACAAGGATCATCGAGTCCACTTTGACCCCAGCTAGAATAAGAACTGGGAGCTGCCAATGAGCAGTTGAAGGATGAATCTTTCTCTCCTGCACCATTATCCCATAATTATCCACAACAGGGTGGATTGTGTGTTTTATTCTCTGGTGTATTCAGGAGTCAGGGTCAAACAAGCCTGAGCTGCTTTGGCAAATGCTGTGGCATCCAGAAAACACATGTTGCACTGTGAAAACAGTAAAGAAAACAGGACAAACTCTGGGAGCTGCCAAGCAGGTGGTGCCAGGGGAGCAGAGCTGGGAGGCTGCCAGGCTTTGCAGATGAGAGTCGTAACGAGGGGAATGTGGAAGCATTAGGAAAACAATTTGGTAATATCCACTGATTGAAAACAAATAGAAAGGTACCTGCTTTCTGCAGATTCTGTTAAGGGGGATAAAAGCTCACCCGGTGCAAGGTGGGATGAAGGCACTGCTGCAGTAATATCACCAGGGAAATGTTGAGTGGGACTTGTTTGCTCACTAAGGATGTCTGCCCATCAGCAATGGGAAACGGGCTCAGCCCCTACAATACCACCACGGGGGGTTCATGTTAAGCTGAAGCTGCCTTTTGTTAAAGTTCTGCAATGTTGCCCATGACCAGACCCTGGTGGGGTTTTTTGATGTTATACCACATTGGCGAACGTGAAATATTTAGGTTCAGGTTTCCCTCGTGGCAGTTTGCCAGGCTTGGGCTATATTTAGTTTGTGAAACTGCAGTGCAAACAGCTTACCTTTGTGTAAAGACTGAGTTGAAGGTAAATACCTAATTTTGCCAAGGCTAAATTTACACTCAGTTTGTTGAACCACATCTTGTCTTTCAGAGCTGTGTTCAAAAATGTAGCAGGAGATTTGTCAGATGTCCAGGACACATCTTCTCTTCGCTTTTCCATTCTAAAAAGGACATATGCACTCAGCCAGAGCATAAAGATGCTCTGGGGAGGGTGTTTCTCCATCTGGCACGGTCCCTGGGCTCACAGCATCTCCCTTCACAGCGCTGAATTTGTCCTTTTATTTCTTCAGACTCCAGCAGTGAGTTTTCTGAATCCAAGTCGTGGTCCAGAGTCAGGAGGGACGATGGTGACCATCTCCGGGCACTACCTGGGAGCCGGCAGCCGCGTGTCAGTGCTTCTGGGAAACCAGACCTGCGAATTCTACGGGTAAGGGGCCAAGCTGTGTCATGGAATTCTCTGTCACGGAATCCCAGCCTGGTTTGAGTTGGAAGGGACCTTAAAGCTCATCCATTTCCACCCCCCTGCCAAAGGCAGGGACACCTTCCACTAGAGCAGGTTGCTCCAAGCCCTGTGTCCAACCTGGCCTTGAACACTGCCAGGGATGGGGCATAACATCCTGGTTATCAGGGCTACAGCACAGTGTGTCTCCTGTAGCTTAACATGCAGCCATGGCAAAAAACTCATCTGGGAATCCCTGAAGGCTCCCGTTCCCTCTTTTGTTACCTGAAACCATCTTCTCCTATACTGTGACCAAACCTTGCTTGGCAAGGGAGGGATTCCATCAGTATTAGTGCTGTCCATTATTTCATTTTCATGCTGTTACAACGTTAACTGGTCCAAACATCTTCAATAAACCAATGTGATTGTAAAATGTTTATAGTGGTTATCAGGAGGTGCCCTGAGCCTGGTTAATCTGAAGAACATGCAACATTTGTAAGAAACAACTGGTTTTTCTTCACAGTTCAACAACTGCATTACTTTTATTGCAGCCACTGCTGCACATCCCTCAACTTCCCAGAAATGGTCAGAGCAAGGGGTGGGCTTCTGTGTGGCAGAGCAAAGCGAGGATCTGCACGCACCTTATTGCTGAGAAATTTGCACAGCCATCCATCTCCTCGGGGTTTTCTATGGCAAATTTGCTTTTTAGCCAGCAGTGTAAACACAGAGTTGACATTTTCAGGGTTTAATGGATTTTATTGGGTCTTAGTTAAGAAAAGATACATGCAGTGTACATCTGTGTGCATCACGTAGACATCCATGCCCTGTACCAACCCAAAGCTGACAGGGTGCATTTCAGAGCATGGGGAACCTGAGCAAAGTGGTGTGATGTGCAAAGGGACTCTCTCAGATCAGGCTTCCCAGGAGGAACTGAGTAAGTCTCTAGGAAAAAAAAGACTCTGAAGGTGAATTTCTCATCTGGAAGACTGAGAGGTTCACTATGGGAGCTGTGGGTGTTGAGATCATAGAATCATAAACTGGTTTTGGTTGGAAAGGGCATTAAGATCATCCAGTTCCAATCTCCTGTCATGGGCAGGGACACTCCCACTGGACAAGGTTGCTCAAGGCCCCATCCAGCATGGCCTTGAACACTGCCAGGGATGTGGGAGCATGTTGGGATATTAGTGCTTACTCTGCATCCATCCTAGAATGGTGCTTCAGGACATGCCAAGGTCTTCAAGTGCAGATCAATTCACTGTAACCAATCCACCAACATTTCTTCCGTTATCCAAAGCAAAGGTGCCAGATTGCTGCCTCAGATGCACACGGGTAACGGCATCCCTACCGGCAGAAGCAGCCTTGGAAGCTGGCCTGCAAACAGCATCAGCCCTGTGATATAATCCCTTAAATATATGATTATATTCAGGCAACCTGCAGACAGTGACCTGCAAAACCTGGAAGAGTTGTGAATTCTCTGTATGGTCTAATTACGGCAGGCAAGCAGAAATTTAAAGCCAGGGCAGTGTATGAATGGCACCATCCTTCATGTGGGGTCACGCTGTGCACTTTGTTTTGCTTGGACTGTTTGGAGGCAATGAACTTCGACTGGACTCGAGGGTGTGGGGGAGCCTGATTAGATGAAACAGCTTCTAATGAGATTCACTCTAATTACAGCTTCCCCCATTCTCCCCTCTCTGCTCGGAGGAGTGGGTAGATTCACCATGACGACATGCTAATAGCATGGAAAGCTAATTAACTGATCACAGGGAGCTGAGAGCAGCCCTGCCAGCAGCAAGGCGTCACTCTGGATCTTGTGCCAGAGCTAAGCAGGCATGGTGGAGTCTGGCAGGGCTGGGCAGAAAGCAGGCAGTGGACAGGCAGCAGAGCAGGCAGCTCTTCAGCATCCACAGAAACACAGAGAAGCAGCAAGGAGGGTGGAGAAATGCACTCCTCACACAAGGGTGCCATCGTGGTTAAATGAGACCTAGGTGGCGAGTGAAAATGAGACGAGGGAGGAGGAGAGCCGGAAGGGGTAGACAAGTGCATCAACAGAAAAAGTCCAGTCCAATTTGAGATATTTTAGGAAGTTGTTTCTGTTCCCTGGGTTATGGTGGATGGGTGTGCCAAGGTGTGCACTGGGAACGTTGCTGTACCCGCTATTGGATACCCCCTGGAATGCCCAGTGGCCCAGTGATGTGCCCGTACTCCTTAGGGAGTGTCTGAGGGATCTTGAAAGGGCCCCACAGAGCATCCACTTGCCCAGGTACATACACCAGAGCCTTGCTGGAAGCAGAAAAGGGGCACAGCTGCACTTGAGCCTCCGATGTTCATGCTCCACAAGCTGTGCAGCCTCTGAGGGTGGGGATGGGGAACACTGGAATTCAGTAGTGCCACGTTCTGATTTGAGTCCCAAACTGCCAGAGAGGTGCTGCAGACCTGCCTGCCCTCTCCCCTCTGAGAAGCCAAAACTAAATGAGCCACAGAAGCAGTATGGCCTTTTCGGCAAGCCAGGGGCAGGTCTGGGCAGGCAGGACAACCTACAGGTGGCCCTACAGGACAGTGGCCTCCCAGGAATGTCGCTCCAGCACTTTTGTAGGAGCAGTGTCCAGGCTTACTGCAGAGCTGTGCAGTTCCTCACAGCTCTGTCCCGGCAGCAGGAGCATCGCTGTTTGGATCTCTTTCCCCTTCTCCGTCCATCCATCTCTCTACCCTCCCACCAGTGCCTTTGTGCTTTGACAGCCCCTTGCTTCCCTGCCGCCTCAACCTTCTCTGGGGCTTCACTGGAAGCAGATGGTCTGTTGTGTCCAACCAGCCGGCGCCAAGGCCGAGGTCACCCCTGCTCTGATGGGGACACAAAGGCGGAAGGCAGCGGTGACGGTGGCATTGCCCTTCCCAGGGGGCTTTGTGTGCTCCGTTATGCTGCTCTCAAGAGCTCGTGTGTGCAGTGGGGTGGGGAGGGGAAGAATTTGGCTTTTGAGTGAGCTTCTGCATCCCGTTTCAAAAGCAGCCGTCTGTTTTCACACGCCCAGCAGAAGGCAGCGGGTTCAGTGAGGGATGCGGGAGGCTGCAGTTTGGCACAAAGAGTAATTTCAGGGAGCCTGTGCTTCTCTTTTGGTGGGCCGGCAGAGTCCCTTTCCATGCCAGTGAATCTCTCCTGCCCACCTCAGGAGCTCATCCCCTTTCAGGAATCGGAGTGTAGAGCTGGCTGATGGCTCAGCCTTTTAGTGAGCTGCAGGTCAGCACTAGGACCAAGGCTTTTCTGCCCCTACACTGTGCCTGCCCATTAAAGCTTCCCTGGCTTCTCTCTTGCACAGGCGATCCATGAATGAGATTGTCTGCGTGTCAGCTCCATCAGCCCATGGCCTGGGGGCTGTTCATGTGTCTGTGAGCGTGGACCGGGCTCAGCTGGAGAGGACTTTGCTGTTCGAGTACATCGATGATCCGAAGGTGCAGCACATCGAACCTGAGTGGAGCATCGCCAGGTAACACAAGGCTCTGGCATCTGGTCCTCAACAGCAGGAGGGTAACCAGCATGCCTGGTCTGGGTTTTCTCTCTCAACCTATGATGTGTGAGGTCAAAAGAGGGTCAGTTTGGAAATGCACATCCCATCCAGCATCCTGGATTTGTCAGGGCTATGTGTCTGTAGTATTTGCAGTTATCAAAAATCCGGTCCAGAGTTACTATGAAGTAGCTGTGATTATGAAGGCAATTACAGCAGCAGCAGTCTGCCCTGAGATTTTGGGAGCACGAATAAAGCCAAGATCACTTCCATCTGCTGAAGAAGTTGTACAATTGCTCATTAAAGGCTCCTTTTTGTAGTCCTGCAATAAAACAAAACCAGCAAGCACCAAGAAAGGAAAAAGCTGATGCAAATCAAAACGTAGTGTTTATCCCAGATTCACTGCTTGGTACAGGGTGACCAGCACTGTCACATCACCGTGGCGTCATCACTGCTGAAAAGCCTGGGCCAGCCTCATCCCGTGAGGTTACTTTAATGGTTGTGCTCACACGGGCTGAAACACAGCAATTCATTTCAAATTCCAATTCTTTCTTAAAATTGCCCTTGAAAGAAGTGAGCAGCTTGCAGCAGGCTCTGCGAGGTGTTTGCTCTGAGTCCCAGTTCAAGATCACGTCTGTTTTGGGGTGAGATGGGTTTGGTGGGCTGGCCCAGAAAGCCAAGAGTGAAAGGCTTTGCACAGAGGCATTGGCTGTGGGAGAATTGGGGTTCTTTAGCCTGGGGGGTTGTTTCCTACCTGGCCCCCATGGCATTGAGTGCTCTTCATCCCTCCCCTCCTCTGTGTGACAACTTGCAGCATCTGCAATCCAGATGCAAGTGCATGTCAGATCCTTCACTGCACATACCATTTATCGTATTCCTTAAAAACATCACTGTGTAAATCATTAACCACTGTGATTATTGTCTTACATATTTAGTCTCAGCTCAGTTGATTTCTTTGGTCCCATTTCTCATCCTGCTGCCTTGCAGTGCTGTTAGGTGGGAGAAAGCTGAGAGTATAAAATCTTGCTGACTTTGGACACTCCTCCCCAGTGACTCAGGGAGTGGGAATTAATCCCTGCTGTCTCCTGGTACCTGAAGTGTCTGCAGAAAACATCTTTCTGAGATCAACAAGCATCCTTATTGTCAAGCAGAGCCTCTCTGCACAGCATTAATCAGGTGTCTCCTGGTTCTCCACAGTGGACACACGCCTCTGACCGTTACCGGCTCCAACCTGGATGTGATCCAGGAGCCGAGGATCCGCGTCAAGTACAACGGGAAGGAGTTTGTCAATGTAAGTAGCTGCTGTCAGCACGGTGCCTGGGAGCATCCCTCTGCATGGGTCCCCCCAACCCAGGTGCGCACATGCACTGGTTACTGGTGCCAGTGCTCTGCATGGTGTGGCTTGCCATGACAAAAGCTGCTCTGGGGGTGATGTTTCCCTAGATTTACCCAAACTGGGAACGCTGGAAAGACGGATTCGGACACACAGAAATTACTTCCTCAGCAGCACAGTAACTGCCAAAGAGTTTTCGGAGGACTCCATTCTAGATCATCTCAATCACCTCAAATTCTTTCTTGGGTCAGATAAAGTTTCACTCTGAAACTCCCTCTTTTGTCAGAGGCCCTGAGACCTTTCCTCTCCCCAGCATCCTTTGATTTCCAGTACCTAGCTCAGCTCTACAGACACATCATAATGGGAAGCCCAAGTGTAGCTGTCTCCATCACTCCCAGCTGCTCCACATTTCCCATTTTAGTCCTGCTCTTTCTGTAAAAGCCCAGAGTAGGCGCTGAGACCTGCCAGCTCTGAGGCTATGTTTAACTAGTCTCTCCCTAGCTGCCTCTCTATAAATAAACCTCCTACTGCCACAGCTCTGGGCCCAGCAAGCCTGTACCAGCCCAGAGAGGGAACCACTTCTGAACAAGAAGCTTTCAGGCTGCTTTCACAGCTCAGTCACCACAGTAAGGCCAGATGCTGCTTCCCTGTATCCACCTCACCATGCAAAGGATGCTGGGCATGGAGCTCTGGGTATTTTGGTGAAGCTGGGTGTCAAGGCTCCTTTCCCTCCTCCCTCTTATCACCTTGATATTCCCAAAGCCAGGTGTCAGTATAGCAGAATAGGGGGTTGATCTGGAATGCTTCCTCCTTCCCTGGTCTGTATTTTTTCAGTCTGGGGTGAGAAACCAAAATGAATCCCTAGCTAAGTGGGAACTAAGCAATGTTCTTTTATGCCACAAATACAAATTGTACCTCCAGGACCTGCAGAAATTATTTTGAGCAACTAAAACTGAAATACACTGTTTCTATGCAGTGATCTTTCTCACTGAACCTGTATTATCTTGGAAAGGGCAAATCACTTAGCAGTCTTTTTCTATTCCCTTTCTCCCTTCCCCTCTGAAGACCTTTTTCATTGGATCTTTTTTTAAAGAGACATCTAATTTTGTTGCTAGCATTTGCAGTTATAGTGCTGCAAAAATAATCCTGAACACACAAAATTGAGTGAAATTAAATTTTCCACTTATGGAGGGAGGCCAAACAGTTGGGCTCTTGCTGCTTTATAAGGCAAGAGCCTCATAAATCAGCCAGCTCCCTGCTTCCAGGGCTGGAGGAGCTGTGGGTGTCCTCAGCCTGGCAGGAGATGACGTTCGAGTTACCTCCAGCCCACAAGTGTCAGACAATCATTCCTCTCCCTTGTTGGGAATTGCCTCTAATCACCAATCTGTAGCCGGGAGCAGGTATTTTCTGTGGGTCTGTTTCCCTGGACTTCCCAGAGAGTATTTACGGAATCAGAACATTGTTGTCCAGGTATAGGTAAAGTTTTCCCTGCTGTCTTTCAAAGCATCACCTTCCCCCCAGGTCTGCAAGGTGGTGAATGCTACGGCGCTGACCTGCCTGGCTCCTCCCCTTACCTCCGAGTACCGGCCCGGCCTGGATGCTGTGGAGCGGCCAGATGAGTTTGGGTTTATCTTTAACAATGTGCAGTCCCTCCTGGTCTACAACGACACCAAATTCATCTACTACCCTAACCCAACGTTTGAACTGCTGAGCCCAACCGGGGTGCTGGAGCAGAAGCCGGGGTCACCCATCATCATGAAGGTAAGGAGACCGGTACTCAACCTACAACAAGAAAGAAAAAAAACAGTCCCAGAGAGATTTCTATTCCCTCTTTGGATACACCAGATGGAGTCCTGTCGTTTGCACAAGCTGGGAATGAGGTGGAAACAGGAGAAATGCATCTTTGTACAGTCTTCTCTCCCCGTGTCCCTAGGGCAGAAACCTGTGCCCACCCGCTCCTGGAGGAGCAAAGCTCAACTACACTGTGCTGATCGGAGAGACACCCTGTGCTGTCACTGTCTCCGAGACCCAGCTGCTGTGTGAGCCACCTAATCTCACTGGACAGCACAAAGTGATGGTGAGGAACCAAACGCTCCTTTCAGCATCCTTTCCCTCCCTCTTTCCCATCTTTTTTCCTCCTTCTCCAGCTCTGTGATGCACTTGGAAACTGAGTGCAGTTTCTTGTCCAAGGTTTGGTAGGATTTTAGATCTTTATGCCTGTCTAATTGGAAGCATAAAATACTGATTTGGATTAGCATGGAGTAACTTCTTCCCTCACTGAGGGAACCTGCTATCAGAGCCTTCTAGAAGGAACAAACCTTTCTGGCAATGCCTTTGACACCAGTGATCATCGTTTCTGTGGTGCTGCTTGCCTTTCCTTCAGCAGGTGGGACCACTGGCTTTAAGCTGAAAGAGGGCAGATTTAGATTAGATATTAGGAATATACTCTTAACTATGAAGTTGTGAGGCACTGGCACTGGTTGCCCAGAGAAGCTGTGGCTGCCTCATCCCTGGCAGTGTTCAAGGCCAGGTTGGACACAGGGGCTTGGAAGAACCTGCTCTAGTGCAAGGTGTCCCTGCCCGTGACAGGGGGTTAGAACTGGATGAGCTTTAAGGTCCCTTCCAACCCAAACCATTCCAGGATTCTGTGATTTTCAGTGGGTTGTATTCTCCCTCCTGTTGGGATTTTGACAGTCCTTCTAGCCAGACCTGATCTGCAAAGCGGATGGGAAGGTTCTGCCTTTTCCTGAAGCAGAAGCAGCCAGGAACATCTGAACACTGTAGTGGATGGATCAATGGCCTCATTCAGGATAACAGTCAGTGTCTTCCTCTGCTTTGGTTTTGGGCATTGCTGCTTCCTCTGATCTGCTCATAGCTGCCGAAGTGCTTGAGTAGAGCCCAAACGAGATTGTAATTGTGATTTATTTCCCTTTAAGTTCAGCATCCAAAACATATTCATATTATCACAGTGTGATGCACAGAAGCGCAACCTGGCTGAGAGCTGCTTACATCTGTGGCCAGGGCGCATCCAAGAAAAGCCTGTCCTGGCATTAACCTCCAGCATGCTTGCTCTTTAGCTTTCACATGGGGCTTTGTCTTCCCTTCTCTGTTCTCTCTTTCCAGTCACTTTGGTTTCCTGTCAGTGAAATTATCACTAGGTTGCGAATGTCCACACTTTACAAAAGGGAGTTGAAAGTGTATAAAATGAAAGTCAAATGGAGCCATCAGATAGTAAGAACAAAGCCCAGATAGTGAAGGGCTGGCACATTTATCATGACTTGAAGCCTCCCTGGGGTCACATAAGCTACACCCTCTGTTTGAAGGCAATTGGAGTTGCTATATTCTTGGCTGAAACAAGACACTGTTAAGTGCTTCTGTAGGGATCTGCACAGGCCATGTGGTGTGTGCTTGGGCTTTGGGACTGGATGACACCGTTACCTAAAGCTGCTGGTTACCTCCCTTGTGCTTTGTAGGTGCGTGTTGGTGGTATCATCTTCTCTCCTGGTTCAGTGAGCATCACCTCAGACAGCCTTCTGACCCTGCCAGCTATTGTCAGCATCGCAGCTGGAGGCAGCCTGCTCCTCATCATCGTCATCATCGTCCTCATTGCCTACAAGCGCAAGTCCCGAGAGAACGACCTGACCCTGAAGAGGCTGCAGATGCAGATGGACAACCTGGAGTCCCGTGTGGCCCTGGAGTGCAAGGAGGGTCAGTACTGCCTGAGACCAGGCACTCTCGGTGTGCTGCAGCTCCATGCTCTGGTCCCCAGCTCTCCCCACCAGAGCCCTCCCCATCACCCAATGTTTGTGCTGAGGAGTGGGGTGTATGCTCCCCAAAGTTTGCCCACCAGGCCCACTGCAGCAGGGTGGGCAGCCACAAGTGTGTCAGCAGCAGACATGGCTCTGCTGCCTAATGTGCAGAGAATAGGATTAGAGCTTGATCCTGCTTAAGCGGCATGCCTGGATAGAGCTGGAGGGATGCTGTGAGCCCCAGGGTGCCCAGCACAATATGTCCCCTTGTCTAATGGCCTTTTAGTAGGGGGCTTTTAAAAAGGCACAGAGATATGGAGCAGAGGAGGTTTGGACCCCCAAGAAACAGTGTGTATCCCAAATGGAAGGCAGGAGGATGGGAAAGCTGGTTCAGTCCCTCCTCCAGTCTCTGAGATGTAAGCCCAGAGCAGTAAGTAGATCTAAGGGATAGGGAGAAGCTACTCAGCATTTGCTTCTGGGGAATCTTGTGTGTTACTGGGACTAGATTTCAACACAGACAAGTCTTGCCCCTTCAGCAAGGCAGCTGTGCCTGGCTGCTCTGCATCAGAGCGAAGGTGGAGGTGGGCAGGCATCTTTGTAGCTGGTGGGTGAGAGAAGAAACATTCTGCTGTAGTTCCATATGTCCTTCCAGCTGGAAAGGTCCTTAGTGAATTAAAGAAAAATAAATCAAAAGCTGCAAATTCCATAGTGTGACCTCTGTTTCTAGAGAGTTTGGCATTGGATTTGTTCAGCTGGTTTTAAAAGGATAGCCTTGAAAGCACAGGACAAAAAATGAGATGTATTCCGGAGAGAACACACTTGGGCATGAGCACAGCCTAGCTGGGGTACAGAGACCTCACTGAGCCAGCATTTCATACTTTGGAGGATGAACACAAGGCCACACATACAGTTGTATAACACAGTGATGCGATGTTATGAGTGGAAGAATAAATTCCTTCCTGACCCCTGCGGCAAGCAGTTTCTGCTTGGATTTGATCTGCATCAGCTTTGATTACTTTGGAAACTGTTGATAGAGGAGGAAAAGAAGAAGAAAGGAAAATACAGGAGGCACCAAGTTAGGAAAATAGATCCTCATTTCTATCTGCAGCCTTTAAAGGTGCTATAGGTGTGTGTACACAGGTGTGAACTGCATACAAATTAATAGGCATTTTTTGTTCTCAGCATCTGCTCTGTGCAGTGTGTGCTCTCTTGCTTTCAGCAGAACCTCCAAGGGTGAGGGTCTGTTTGAGCTACATAGCAGGGTCTCCTCCACATCACTTTCCTGAGCTGGCCTATTTGTGGGTCCTACTCAAGGCGAGCAGACAGGCAGCATCTCCAAAGCCCCCCCAAAGCCTGCATTCCCTGAGCTCACGTGTGCTTTTCTTCTGTTCCATTCTCCCTGAACAGCTTTTGCAGAGCTGCAGACAGATATCAATGAATTAACCAGCGACCTGGATCGCTCTGGGATCCCGTACCTTGACTACCGGACCTATGCTATGAGGGTCCTTTTCCCTGGCATCGAGGACCATCCTGTCCTGCGGGAGCTGGAGGTAATGTATAGCCTGTGCTCAGGCCCTTCAAAGTTTCCCTGAGCCAGTGTGAAACCCAGAGGCCTTCCACACCAAATCTTATGAGAGGCACTGGGGTCAGCAGGATGAGCCCCCAGTTCATTTTAACTAAGAAGCTGGTGGTTTATCTCCATCCCTCATTGTTTGATTCCTTTCAGTTCCTTTCCTCTGGTGTTGCTTTAGTTTTATTTTATGGGGTTTTATATTGCTATAGGTCAGAAGCAAAGTTTATACCAGATAAGTTATTGGCGTCCTTTTAATCTCCTTCCTACTCACCGTACGGCGCAGGGAAGGTTTTGAGCCTGGGAGCATCGTGCTTGGAGCATCCTGCTGCTGCAATTCCACGGCGTGACCACCGGAGGGCAAGCGCCGTGGCTCGGCATGGGCAGCCTGCCTGCGAGCACCTTAGTGGTTCTTCCACCACTATGTCTAAATGTATATAAAAGATTTCCACTGAGGATACAACAAAATAGGTGATGTGCAAGAGTCCATCAGATCCCCTTGCAGATATGCCCCGCTCACCTGTGAGAGCATCCAAAGAAATGATGGTGCTTCAAGAACCATTCTCTGCCACCAAGAGAACGTGGGGCTTCCATCCTCCATCCAGGATGCACAGAGGTACCAGCTCTGCACTCCCTCTTGGAGTATTGCTCTGGTATCCTGAAAGTCCTATTGCCTTCACAGAGCCCAGGGGATGGCGCAAATCTTCAGCCAGAAATGTCAGAGGAAGAAGCCTTGCTTGCTTGTGCTCTATATGGCTGCATTGATTTACCAGGCAAGCACTTCTTAGCATTCATGCATCAAATCTGATGCCTCTCCAATGGGCACCAACACTGAGCAGTTGCCCTGGTGTTGGTAAAAATCACCCAGGCTTTGAACTAGCCTCTCCCAGCCCATTCCCTGATATTTCCAGTCCCACACACTGTGTTCACTGTTTAAATTGCCAAATAAGCCAAACAAATATGAAAGCTTTTTGTTTTACTCGTGAAAAATAGAATTGCAGAAGTGATGTGTTGCCAATTACACAGTTGCTTAATTATGTAGTGTTAGTAAAACCAATACATAAGTCTCCAAGATGTTTGGTAAAGAGTTGCCTAATGTAGTTCATCATTTTCACTTGTAATGAATTACTTGAATCTGCAACTGGCTGAAAGCCTCAATTAATTTTTTACGCTTGTCCCATAATAAAGCAATAGTCTAAATTAGTATTTAATTTACTTACAAGAGTGTCACTTTTTGTGCAGAACAAGCAGAATTTTATGTTGTTTGTAGGGCTATTAGCCTCAGAGTGGCAGCTTTATGACTCCAAGTGCAGTTCCGAGCAATGATCATAGAATCATAGAATGGTTTGTGTTAGAAAGGACCTTAAGATCATCTAGTCCCAACTCCCCTGCAATGGGGATGGGATGATACCTCACTTGCCATAGGCAGGGACACCACTCACTAAACCATGTCACCCAAGACTCCATCCAACCTGGCCTCGAACACTGCCAGGGATGGAGCATTCACAACATGATGAAGGTGAGCTGTGCAGAAGTGCTGGAAGGGGACAGAAAAGGTGACCAGGACTGGCCAGAGACCATGTTCATGGATGCTGAGACCTTGCGAGATGCAGTGCTGGCTTGTGCACCCAGGGTTAAACCGTTCACTCCACCTCTAGTGATGGTCCCCTGTCCTCCCAAGCTTTGGCTGATGGGTCTTCTCTTTTCCACCACAGGTCCAAGGGAACGGGCAGCAGAGTGTGGAGAAGGCCTTGAAGCTCTTTGCACAGCTGATCAACAACAAAGTCTTCCTGCT